CTAGTGGTAAGGAACCCACCTGCCAATGTAGGAGATGCAAGAGATGCAGGTTCTATCTCTGGGTTGGGAAAATCCCTTGGAGGAGGACATGGCAACCCACTCCAGTATTCTTGCCTGGAGAATCCCACGGACAGAGGAGCCTGGTGGGCTACAGTCCATGGGGTCTCAAAGAGTCTGACACAACCGAGCAACTGAGCACACATGTACCCACACACAGCCAAGTCTCAGACAGGCCTGAAGACCAGAATCACCTGTGGGAACTTAAAAGTAACAGACCACAAACACATCTGCTCAAAAGGCCTGCATGCAGCCTGGGAGTCTGTGTTTGTGACAGTCTTTCCTGAGAGATGCTGATAAACCCACACTCCAAACCACCAGGACCCCAGGAAGCCTCCCAACCCGCAGTTTCAGAGTCAGTGACCATGAGACACCCTCTGATCACAAGACTCCACAGCTCCTGAGAGGAGGGAGGAAGGTCCCTCAGGCCTGGACCGACAACCCTCCCCCACCCCCAGGAGCTCCTTGCTTCCTCCTCCCCTCCCCATTCCAAGACCAGGAATTTCTCACCCACCTCACTTTTCTTCTGAGTTCAAGCATATGCAGGGTTCCCTTATTGTGAAGAGTGCATCACTTGACCCTAGTCCCACTCCCTAGCCCCACTTCCTGACAGTTAACCTTGCAGGATCATCCCCAAGGCTCAGTCCCCTTCCACCTAGGCCCTCGCCATTACCAGTTCTGTTAGAGTTCTGTGTCTCCAGCCACCCTGACCTCCAGCCTCCCTCCCATTGCCGTTTCTTGCTGTCAACACTTGACCGCTCCCGTTGACCCTCAAAATGAGATGGACATGGAGTCAGATTCTCGTCTCCCCCCCACACTGCCATCCACCTCCCTTCCCCCTTTGACTCCATTGTGGGTTCGTTTTGTGAGGACACTGCAGCCCCAACAGAGGAGGTGACCTTCATGGGGTTCACTCCGTCCTGAGGGCACCTGACCTGGGGGTGTGCCCCTCTGAGGGCCCCTGCCCCTCTGTGAGGGCAGATCCCCTGACACGGGCACTGTGTCCCCAGTCCCTCCTAACACCCATCCATACAGAACACACACAGAAGGACTTCAGTCAAAGCTAAGAAGGGGAAACAGGACCTGTCGAGGATCCTGACAGGTCAAGGTGGATGGAGCACTGCGTGTCCATGGTGACTCCAAACAGCACTGCCCTATGGGCCCAGCCTGCAGCAGTTCATTCCCTCTAGCCAGGAGAGCTTCTCTCCCATGCTCCCCGAGGCCTTTACGGGGACTGCTGACTGTGATGCTGGGATCTCTGGATTTTGCCGCGTTTTAGTGACACCTTCCCTGGTGGCTCAGGAGGTAAAGCGTCTGTCTGTAATGTGGGTCAGACCTGGGTCAGGAAGATCCCCTGGAGAAGGAAATGGCAGCCCACTCCAGTACTCTTGCCTGGAAAATTCCATGGATGGAGGAACCTGGTAGGCTATAGTCCATGGGGTTGCAAAGAGCTGGACACGACTGAACAACTTCACTTCACTTCAATGACACCTTCAGCTGATTCACTCTAGATATTTGTGAAGCAGTAATTCATTCAAGGAACATTCTGGGACTCTGTATGTCTTCTCGTGGGAGAAAATATGGGGATGAAAATCCAGGAGTTTAGAGGCTGAGAGCCACATTAGACCATCCACGTAGGAACTCAGGTCCTGTCTGCTTTAGAGAAGTAACACTGTTATCAGTTTTTATTATCGCTTCTCGGCCTTTTGGCTAAGATCAAGTGTAGTTTTTATTGAGTGTGTGCCAAATGTGAGGGGTTTCCTAGGTGACTCCGTGGTAAAGAACCTGCCTGCCAATACAGGAGCCACAGGAGACGGGGGTTTGATCCCTGGCTTCGGAAGCTCCCCTGGAGGAGGAAATGGCAACCCATTCCAGTATTCTTGCCTGGAGCATCCCATGGACAGAGGAGCCTGGAGGGCTACAGTCCATGGGGTCACACAGAGTCAAACACGGCTGAGCGACTGAACAGACAGCACACACCATCTGTAAGAGGTAGTTCTCGGTTTCCTCACCTGTTTCACCCCACGTAGTACTCACCCCCTGAGGCAGGCTGTCTCACCTCCACTCCCTGACAGATGAGGAAACAGTGGCTGAGAGACAGCCCTTCCTGCCCAAGATCACGTACACAGGCAGTGAGTCCGGATGTCCGGGGTCGGCGGGGCGGGGGTATTGAGGTAGAGCCCCCTGCTCAGCATCCTCGCTAGATCTTTCCCTGGAGGACATTAGTCTCTCTGGGGAGAAGTGGTTACAGGAGACGCTCCAAGGGCAGTGAGCAGGGCTGTCTTCACCAGATGGATCTCAATCAAGAGGAAACGTAACTGCACATATCAGCGTTGAGACTGTCCATCCTCTTGCTCCTTCGGCCTCCCTCGAGCTGCTGGCCTCCTGCTGTGAACTTTTCCTGACAAGTCACTGCAGAGGCAGATTCAAGCCCATGACAGCAGAGTTCTCCTCTTTCCAACCCTGGTGCCACTAGTGTTTAGTATCCCCCCAACCCACACATCCCAGAATGTCTCAGCTACTGTGAGTCTGAGGCAGGCAGGGGATTGGAGGGGGTAATCTATGGGGATCTATGGATGGTGGCTTGATATTTGGGTCAGAATCTATCAACTTTTCAAGCCCCTGTTTTCAGAAGAGCATCCAGACAACAAGCACAAGGTGAACACTGTCCAGCACAGACCATGGAGTAGCTGTTGGCAAAACACCTACTAGCTCTGTAGCTGTGTTTCTCCATTTTCTCCCGGCTTCGAAGGCTCGTCAGACTGGTGCCCCCAAGAAATTCTCTGTGCATCCCAAATAAACCCTTAGGAAGGGGCCAGAGAAGCAGACTGGGGTGGGGTGGGGTGGAAGACTTTCTCACATCAGGACGCTGGCGCCAGAGCAGCCGTGGTCCATGAAACTCTTCCTCCCGGTGCTGCGATGGGAAAGGGGACGGCTGCCCTCAGTGTGCACAGCCCAAGGGGCAGAGGTCAACCTTAAAGGGGCCTCGACAGAGAGCCACAGAGAACTAAGGAAACGGAGGAGGCTGGTTCCTCCTGTCTCCCTCCGATGGGGTTTTGTTAGCCGTTCTGCCTTGAAGGAAGCCTCTGAGGGTGGCTGGCAGCCTGTGGGTGCATGACCAGGAAGGAGGTACAGCGTCTCCAATAAACAAAGCAGGAACCATTACCCTTTTCCATAGGTCCAGAAACTTCCTTTCTCTGTGTTTAAACCACAAGTGCCAAGTCAGGGTATGTTTTATCTGGGGGAGAAGGCAGGAGACCCCACCCAGCCATCACAGACAAAACATGGGCGAGCCTTGTCCGCAGTCCCAAAGCGCTGGCCTCTGGGCTGACTCAAGCAGTGGGGCGCTCACCACTTCCCCTGGGAACCTGGCCCAGGACTCGGGGCTCCTCGTTTGAATGCTTTCCCAGCTACTCAGCCACAAACTCCTTTCCTGGGGGGCTGCAGCTTCCCTCACTGGACCACAGGCGTTGACTCATCTTGGACCAAGATGGAGGCGGGAGGTGCAGGAACACACGGGGGACATTCAGCTGGGGTGGCTGTCATCTGTCACCTGCCCTCCCCCTGGGTGGTCAGCTGGGGCCCAAGCAAACTTGCTCATTCTTGTGGTTATTCCTTTAGACGTTTAACCTCCAGAGGCTGGGAGCTGCACTTAGCCATCTCTGTGTGTTTAGGGCTCCATAAACGAGAGTATGAAGTGAATCCCCAGCTTCTGCCAGGCTGCGTGCCACTTCTCTTCTGCATGAGGCCTTCCTTTGCTCGCACAAAGACCCTAACCCCAGAACCCATTTCTTGTGAGGCTGTTTGTAGTCTGACAAGGTGAATTCAAAGCTTTTGTCCTGCGTTAGACCAACTCCCTGCAGGTCTCCTCTGTCTCCACAGATAGAGCCTTGAACTAGCTCCCCTTGGGGAAGGCGCACCACCCCCCGCCCGCCCCATGGCAATTACAGGCCATTCATTTCAGTCTGCTGGACCTGGTCTCGTAAACCCCATTTACTGTGAGGTGAGAAGAGTCCTGGGGCACCTCCGGCCAGACCAGCACAATTCCAGGGAAGACTTTCCCCCTAGTTAGTGTGGTGTTTGCTAAAACTGCGCTCACTTTCCTTATTGTAAAACCCAGAGCACAATAGATCCTTACTGCCAGCCCACTGTGGTGGGTTCCTGGGCCCTCTGTCTCTGACCGCCCCCTGCAGCCCCTTCCCCCGCTGAAAGGGGGAGGCTGTCACTCTGTTGTGATAACTAATTTTAAAAAGCCCAAGCCTTCAATTATTGCTACTGTTTTTATGGCCTTTCTTCCCTCACCTACTGCATTCAAAGATAATTTCTTTATTAGAGCAACCCTCTATTTACTAAGGGAAGGGAAGGAGGTGCAGAATATTAAAAAAAAAAAAAAAAGAAGCGCTTGTAGGGTGGGCCTCACACCATGCTGGCCCTCTTGGTTGCGGTCTGGACTAGGCTCCAGGGCTGGAGTTGGAGCTCTGCCCTGGTGGGACCTTGGCTGCTCCTTCTGGGGCAGCTCGCCCAGGGGTGCCAGAAGGTACCACGCTCCCCAGATTTGGGGGCTGCAATCAAAGTGTTGGGTCATGGGTCCCAGCAGAGGCTCTAGTGACTGTTTAGGCTCTAACTCCCTTCAGTGACTACCGGAGTAATTCAGCCCTATGGTGTCCCAGAAGTGATGAGGGCGCACATTTTCCTTTTGGAAACGCGTTTCTGGCGATCCCCGCCGCGGGGGCCGTCCTCACCCGAGGGATGGCTTTGCTGGGTGCTGTCCAGGGATCCAGGACCAGAGGGGAACGGCTCGGGTTTGTGAGCCAGAAATGACAGGTCCTCTCCTCCTTGGGGGGGGACCCAGAGGAGGATAAAGCGCGTGCCAGTGTTTGATGTGAACTGGGGGCTCCTGGCAGGAGCGTTGGCTGCACCGGGGGCTGCTGCCCAGTGAGTCCTTAGGTGCTCCCGGAGGACCCGGCAGAGTTCCAGCGAAGTGGGGGGTAGATGTGCGGGATGTCCGGGGGGGGGGTGCTCCCCACGCGCGCCGCGGAGTCTGGCTCGAGAAGGAGCGGGCGCGCGGGGCGCGGAGGCAGGTGCGAGGCCCGGTCCCGCCCGGGAGGAGCCCCGGGGGCGGGTTGTCGCGGCGGGGCGGGGGCGGGGAGGAGGCGCGGGGCGGAGCGCGGGGCCCGGGACCCGCCGGCCGGCGCCGGCCCTGCACTCGGAGCCGCGGCCGCCACCGCCGCAGCCAACTCGGGCCCAAGTTCCCAACCCAGGCGGGAGAGGAGCGCGCAGCCCCCGGCCCGAGCCCTGCTCAGCGCCCGGCCTCCTCCGCTCGACTGCCGGCCGCGCCCCGCCTCCGCCCGCCGGCTCGGACCCAGGCGCCCTCCGGGTAGAGAGCTCGGGCTCCGCGGGAGAGAGTGGTGGACCCCTGGTGCCGGGCGGACGCTCGGCGAGACCGAACCGCAGCGCGGAGAGTCGGCGCCCCCCGGCCACCCGGGCCCCGTGGGCTCTGGAAGGGCCGGGCCACCGGACAGCGAGCGGAAGCCCGCGGGCCTGACAAGCCGCGGACGCGCAGGTAAGCCCCCGCCCCGCCGCCCAACTTCCCCGCGCCCCTCGCCCGCGGGCCAGTCTGGGTGCCAGGGTCGGGAGCAGAGAGGCGCGGTCCAGGAGGGGCCCCACCCCACCGCATCCCCAGGGACCCAGAGCTCGGACCGGGGCGGGTCTGCGGGGCCGGGGGGCCCGGCGGGGCAGGGGGCCCGTAGGGGAAGGGGTCCCCGCCGCCGAACAAAGCTGGGGCCGCTGGCTCTCGCCGCGCCCGGGCCGCCCCCAGCCTGCAGGTAGCAAGGGTCCCCGCCTCCGGGAGGCGGGTGTCGCCGCTTTCGTGCCCCAGGGGCTGCGGGGAGCCGCCCCCGGGCGCACAGGCTCAGACCCGGGCAGTCCCCGCGCCGCGAGCCCCCGAGCTTCCCGCGCTCTTTTCCCGGCTCGCTCGGGCCCAGCTGGGCTCCGCGATGGGCTCTGTGCCCCGCGCCCGCCAGACTGTGGCGAGGCTCCATCTGGATTCTTTTAACCCCCTCGAGCAGTGTTAGTTTGGTGCCTGGATTCCTAACGAAGCCCGAGCAGGTCTCAGGCTGGTCCTCCTGAGTTTTCTGTTTTCTTTCATTGCGCCTCTGCTCGCCCAGCCTCTTCCCCGCCGGCCGCGAGAGGTGCGGGGTGGCCTTTCTCCACCCTCTCCTGGAGCCTCGGGGGATACTTGTCCGCGTACTCGAGACAGAGCGCCCTTTCCTGGATGTTTTCGTTGCCTTTGCTTGGGGCAGGATTGCTTCTTCGACAGAGAGAGGCGCTGAGGTGTGACCTGGCTGTGCTGGGGGACTTGCTCTCCGCTTGCCCCCCGGGCCCTTTTGCCACCTGGCTGCTTGGCCACCGCCTTCAGTTACCACCACCCGGGCAGAGCTTCAGCCTGGTACCTGGAGAAGAATCCTGTTACCAGTTTAGTGGCCGAACAAGTGCCCATTGACAGCAATGTGATGCGTGCCATCAGCATGGGTGCGGTAATCTCCAGTGGGCAGAGTCACGCTCCTGGCCAGATTACCAGCACCCAGCCAGGGGCAGCGGTGGAAGCTCAGGGTGGCCCCTCCTGAGGCTAGCACAGGGGCTGGAGACAGAGGGCACACCCTGGGAGAGCCGGGGACCCTCTCTGGAGGCCGCCCCTCCGGTGTGGATTAACGTGTGCTGTTCACTTATCAAGCGCAAGGCTCTGCTCTCAGGCATGGATGAGTGATATCCAGCCTGCGCTTGCGCCCACAGGCCTGCTAGGCGCACACCCGGTCCCGGCAGACCTGCTGACCCGTGAGATGTGGAAGGCTGAGTGGTGGTTTCCTCCATTTCAAAATAGTGTCTGTTCTGTCTTCACGTAGAAGATTTGTGGCTATAAATAGCAGAAGGAAGGAGATACCTCTACTGGGAAGGATAGGCGGTGCTCAGAGACCTCTGCACGCTGAGGTCGCTGTGATGCCCCAGGGCGTTTGTGGGGAGGTCCAGTCCCAAACCTGAGGACAGAGGTTTCTGCACCATCAGAGGTGGAGCAGGCACAGGAGAGGACGTTTGTGGAGCCAAGGACCTACAGACGTGGCATGTGGATAAGTACCTGAGGGCAGTCCCCTTCCTTTCCTAGAGAAAATTGCCCCTTGGGCGTGGGACTTGCTAGGGTCTGCAGGCCCTGCAGTTCCAGGCCCCAACTTCTCAGGTATTCGAGTATAGATGTGTGAACAGACGTCTGCTCAGTCTAAGAGCCCTCTTTGGGTCCTTTCTATGGAGCTGTTGCCTCCAAGGGGTCTGATTGGCTTGAAAACAACCCTTTTCTTAAAAAAAAAAAATTTTTTTTTTTTCTATGCTCAAAGTCTAAGCCAAATTGCTGGGAGCCATATGCTATGAAAAGAAAAAATTTGGGCTTGCTCTTCACCTGGGTATTTCACCCTGCTGTTACTCTAGTGGCAGCTCAAAGAGTTTCTTGTTTGCTCTTCCTCAAGGAGGACCAGAGCCCAAGCTAGCCTGTTCTAATTTTCGCTCCTGGTGTCTCTGCGGCTTCTGGATGGCCATGCTGGCCTGTCTAGCAGGATAGGAGGCTTTACGTGACGTGCTGGTCCTCACCGTCTCTAAAATAGACACCAGTAAGCCCACAGAGTTGTCCTGTTTGCTGTTCTCTGCTCTGAGCTCTGTTCCAAATAGCCTGCCATCAGTCCCCTTCGTCCTCCGCACAGGTCCCCCTGCTCCTTCCCCACACCTGAACACAGTCTGCAGAGTTTTCAGTAGTTGGTTGGTTGCTGCTGTTCTGGGGGCTTCTTCAAGTCTCTTGAGCCTCACAACAGCAGGAGATCTAGAAGTCCCCAGTGGGGAGAGGACAGGGCACAGGGAAGTCCTGGAGTCTCACCTCGGGGCATCCCTAGCCAGTTCCTATTGTTGTTCAGTTGCTCAGTCATCTCACACTCTTTGTGATCCCATGGACTACAGCACACCACACTCCCCTGTCCTTCACTATCTCCCGGAGTTTGCTCAAATTCATGTCCGTTGAGTCGGTGATGTGTCTGTTAAGCATCTTCGAACTGCATCCAGCAGTTCAGAGAAACCCGAGAGAGGGCTTGGGGATGGACACTTGGTGAAGGTGAAACCCCTACGGTTTTTCACCTGAGCTACCTTTTACAGTACAAATCATCCTCTCCCCATCTCTGAGGAGGACAGACTGCCCACTCCAGGCAGCGAGCTGGTGGAACCCAGAAAGCGGACCCAACATTTGGTCCAGTCCGGCCAGCCTTGGCAGTGGTGGCCCACTCCTCCCAGCCCCTCTGCTGGGACTGTTTACCTGGCTAAATTTAAGCATCCACCCCCTCATTCCAGTCTGACCCACTGGCTCTAGGTCTCACCCTCCTGGCCACTGGGCAGCATTTCCAGGCTTGCTGGCCCTTGTGGTTGTAGCTGGGTCTTTCCCAGCTGTGCAGCCAAAGTTCTCTTCCAGACTTTCTAAAGTCGGCCTCTCCTTCCTGCATCTCCCCTCGGGGCTTTCTTCTCACCTCTTTGTGGAAGCTGATCAGTACTGGGGAAGGCTCTCCTCTGACCGCCCCCCCAAATATCAGGCACAGGGACCCTCGACTCCAGCCTTGGCTGAGACCCTCATGCTGACTGTAACTCTCGCCAACCCAGCCCAGGGCCCTAAAGACACGGGGGTGTTTCTTAACCCTCCACACCCCAGGAAAACCCAGCCCGCCTGTGTGTCCTGTTCTTGCATGAAGTTTCTGGGAGAGGTTTGTTGGGGTACGTTGTAGCATCTCCTCTGGGGGCTCAGTTGTCACTCCTGTCACATGGGGTTTTGGATTGCCCTGGAGGCCTCTTTCAGTTCTAATAGACGGTTGTTTCCAACAGCTTTGGCTGGTTCCATTTTGGAAATCCCTCTGCTGTGGCCCAGGCCTGGGGGTGGGTGGCCACCAATGAAAGGAGGGCCGTCCCCACCAAGGGCGGCGGGCGTCTCACACGGTTCCTGTTTCACCCCCCATGGCTTCAGACAGGGCTTGTGGTCCAGCCAGGGACTAGGTTGTGCTCCTGGCTCTGGCCTCAAGGGCCCCTGTGGTTAGTCAGCATCCCAAGATGAAGTGCGGAGGCCCTGTCTCCAGCTGTTGGAGACCTGGGGGCCAGGGCCCAGGGTCTCTTCTCTTCTGTGGCTTCCTTGAACTACAGAAATGCTAACCCTCGAAGGTCACTCCCATTCGACTAATACGGTTGGGGATTTCCTGAGGTCTGGGCTTCCATCTAGTCAAAGCTATGGTTTCTTGAGTACTCATGTATGGATGTGAGAGTTGGACCATAAAGAAAGCCGAACACTGAAGAATTGATGCTTTTGAACTGTGGTGTTAGAGAAGACCCTTGAGAGTCCTTTGGACTACAAGGAGATCAAACCGGTCCATCCTAAAGGAAATCAGTCCTAAATATTCATTGGAAGGACTGATGTTGAAACTGAAGCTCTAATACTTTGGCCATCTGATACAAAGAACTGACTCATTTGAAAAGACCCTGATGCTGGGAAAGATTGAGGGCAGGAGGAGAAGGGGACAACAAAGGATGAGATGGCTGGATGGCATCACCAACTTGATGGACATGAGTTTGAGTAAGCTCCGGGAGTTGGTGATGGACAGGGAAGCCTGGAGTGCTGCAGTCCATGGAGTCGCAAAGAGTTGGACACAACTGAGCGACTGAACTAAACTGGGCTTCAGTTTGAGAAGTTCTTGGTTTACAGACTGTAGGCCCCGAGTCACATCTGAGTGATCTGGAACATTCAATGAGTAAGTTTGCTCTCAGGATTACTAGGGGAGCAAAAGACACAAGAACATAACTTCCCTCTGAGCATTACTAGGGGAGCAAAAAGCATGAGAACAGGACTTCTCCGGTGGTGCAGTGGTTAAGAATCTGCCTGCCAGTGCAGGGGACATGCGTTCAATCCCTGGTCCAGGAAGATCCCACTTGCCATGGGGCAAGTAAGCCCGGGAGCCCCAACTACTAAAGTCCGCACCCCAGAGCCCATGCTCCTCAGGAATAGAAGCCCTTGCACTGCAACTAGAGAGTAGCCCCCACTCGCCGAGACTAGAGAAAGCCTGTGCAGCAACAGAGACCCAGCACAGCCGAAAATAAAATAGAAAGTGCACCATTTAAATAAAAAGAAATGAGAGACTCCCCTGATGGTCAGATGGTTAAGAATCTGCCTTGCAATGCAGGGGACATGGGTTTGATTCCTGGTCAGACTAAGATCCCGCGTGCCGCAGGGCAACCAAGCCTGTGTGCTGCAACTAGAGAGCCACGCCACAATGAAAGATCCCAAGATCCCATGTGCCACAACTAAGACTTGACACAGCTAAAACACACACACACACACACACACACAAACAGATTACGCAGTATATAATAAAAATCACTTTATATTGAAAAGAAACGAGAACAAAGCTTTTCTGATACAAACTTGGGGTGACCCTGTTCCCTCCTGAGTCTCACTCTGCTCTCCTTTTGGGGGGAGGCTTTGGGGGAGGAGCTGCAGAGCACCCCGGGCTCTGTTCCTGCTGCCGCCGCCCCCCCCGCCCCACCCCTGCCATTTCTCCTCCCAGGAGATACCTGGAGATGTCAGGTTTCCCATCACTGAGGGAGGCTGATGGAAGTCAAGCCCCATTCGTGGAATCATCTCTGAGATGCTCGTTGGGAAGTTTCTCCTGGGAAACTTTGAGCAATCATTACTAAATACTTCATACAGATCTTGTTTGGGGTATAAGACCTGCATTCAAAGTGATAAAACCTTTGAAGAGCTTTTGCGTTTAAGTGTAGGGCTAGAAATGTCCTAGCCCACTGAGGGGCAGGAGCTGGTGGATGGGGTGGGGGTTCTAGATGGTTCTAGACTCATGGGCTCTGCCCTGAGTCCACAGGCTGTGGGCAGCTCAGAGAGTGGAGGCTGGAGCCAGCCACCTGCCCGGCTTCTCTGTGCCTTGATGTCCTCACTTGTAGGTGGAAACAGTAACTTCCTGTT